TCTTAGCTTGTTTCACTAACACTAATTAACTTGAACACTGAGTACAAAAATGATCAAATCCCAAAAGATTTCTTGCTTGCAACTAGAACATTGTTAGGTGGGGTTTTATATCATTCCCAAACCAGAGACCAAACTACCTAGTGCAACCTAATTAGAAAATGGAGTCCATCTGTGTGTAACCTTATACTAAGGATAAATCCAGCTGTTCCATGAGGGGTTCAGAGAGGACATTAGTGAATAAACAGCATCATGGAGAGCAATACAGCAGACAGATAAGCAATACATTCAGGGAGACATTGAGTAGACTTAAGGGAAAGGTTGTTATACAAAGTATTGCCTCAAGGGGCTTCTTACCATACTTTTTAAAATACTTACAGAATTGTGTATATTTCTCATTCCTCTTCACAGTTATGCACTGCTTTGTGTTGGTCTGTTACATAAAGTCCCAATAAAAGACAGATGTTTGTGGTTGTAACATCACATGTGAAAAAGTTCAAGGGGTTTAAATTCCTTTGCAAGGCATAGTATATACATGAGAATAAACCGAATCAACAACAGATAAAGTCACCTCAACATCATTGTTTGGTTCGTGATTTCTTTGCACTGTTAGGTTTTTATAGGTTTGATATTTATCCAGAAAATGTGTTTTGGAAACTAGTGGAGACTGTTTAGAGGCCATGGCCTTCACATGTCTTTTAAAGAGATGTTGTGCACTTAACATTTTGTTTAAGGGGTCAATGAACTGAATTTTCAGCCCTCTGGAGGTTGCTGCTTAGTGGCGATTCATTGGCCACCTGAGATTTAACTCAATGAAAGAGTGCTACTCTAACACCAGCATAAAAGAGCTTGAGAGTAATATGTACCTTTTCCACTTTGGCATCCAGCCCTATAACTTGAAATGATCTTATACCTTGAAATACATTTAATCACATATAACCACAACTGCTACTTGCTGTTAAGGAATGATGTCAGGGAAGGCTTGAATATTCCTCCACTTTCTTCTACAAAATGAAACATATCAGCCAAACATGTATGGGATTTCTTTCCCTGGTTCTCTTCTCTTCCTTTACAAACCAGTGAAGCACATGAATGGATGTGAGAAAGTTTGTTGTGGTGTGTTAAGTTTGTGCTCGATTTGGCTCTTTGAGAGTACTTTGAAATCTGGGGTAAAGGAGTCTTGCATTATATTTTCCTACCCACTTTCCACTGTCGAACGTCTAAAGTGGGTATTTTTAACAGCCTTTTCTGTCAGGCAGCGGTGAGTTTGGGCTTGTTGTTTCACGCTGATTACACTCAAGGCAGGATTATTTGCTGGGATTTAAGCCTGGACCAGTGCTCGGGGATGCGGGTTGACATTTAGGCTGGCAAGAACAAGGCTGCCTTACATAGGCCCTGGACTATTATCTCTGTGTTTACTGCTGCACTGACCACCAACCAAACAATAGCGCAGAATCCATCTGGAGTTTATGCAGAGACTTATCCCTTTTTTTTTTTTTTTGGTAATTTTACATGGAGGCTTTGGAAACAGCTCATATGTAGGCCACACTGACTCTACAAACATCATTTCATGAGACTCTGTGTGTACTATCCTTCATACAATTGGAATGCAGCAGAGTGATCAATCTGGAAATGCATGTGACTAGACCATGAAGACATCATTGATGGCTGAGTAGCAGTTCAAAGCTTAGTAGATCAGCCATCAATCACATTTCCAAGCTGACAAGGTACTTGCTCTGTGTAGTGGGAGTATCTTTCCTCTCTAACACACTGACAACATAGCTAAACACACACACTCCGAAAATAAGGAGATGAAATATGTGATAAGGGCTTACAAGTATCCAGGAAATGTGGATCTTCTAAAGGGGCTCTTGATATCATTCAATATGGGTTCTTCTCTTTCGGATAAGAATAAGCCAAGCAATTTTGTTCAAATACTAAACTTAAACAGCTCATTTCAAAATAAGCCACCCAATAACTGAAAAGAAGAAAAATCAAAAACCCATGCCTTTTCATTTCAGTGAATACCAGAGTTAAAAATCATTTCATGTTCCAAGAGGAAAAGGTAAGGAACATTGGATGTAATCAACTTAGAACAATATACCTCACAGTGAAGCCAGCATACAAAAGGACCTTAACAACAGAGAAGCTTAATGGAGTTAAGCCGTCAGTCGTTTCATTGTTTTCATCAATGCTTTACCTGGTTCTGCATGTCAAAAGGAGGTCAGTGATTAGGATGTGGAAATATCAGTAATTATGTATGCAGTTGATATACCAAGGCAGGTTTGCTAATAATTAGGATGTTATGCTGAAGGAGAGACCAGGGCAGCTCAATGGTGGTTCAGTGCATAGACTTCACATTTCTGTATAATAACACTGACAGCAAAAACTATAATCATCTTTATTGGTCATTGCACATGTACATTACAATGAAATTTGTCCTCTGCATTTAACCCATCCCTTATAGGGAGCAGTGGGCTGCCATTGTGCGGTGCCCGGGGAGCATTCTGGGGCTAAGGGTCTTGCTCAGGGACCCAGAGTGGCAATCTGTGGGATACGAACCTGGCCCCTTGTGTCCCCTCTGGAACACAAACCTCCTGTTCTAACTACTAGGCCACCAACGCCTATGTTCTTATTATTTGCTGCATCTAGATTGATATATGATACAGGTATATATTGAAATATGACATGATGAAGTTGTGGCAAACAGAAAATTCCTCTTGGGTTGCCAGCACGCAACTGTATAGGGAGGTCGTTCTAGATATTGGAGAATGTCTACGATGTTTTTCCACAAATTTCATCTATTGTGCAAGCTTTTGCGTGGATAAGGTCAAGCCTACGAATGTTATGTTCATCTTCTTTGAGCTGCCCAAGTCTTCACATTAGACTCTCCAGTTAGCAAGTTGCTGCTTCCACAAGAGTTTGTGCAGAAGTCGATTAGTGCTCATTCTGCAGATGTTACTGAACAACAGCATTCTTTGTTTCTGGACTAATCTTCAATAGTTGATTGTTTCTTGGGTGGTGTACTTGTTATTTTAGTCTTCTACAAATACTCCAATAAGTCAAATTCACTTCATTATTCTAATTGATTAAAATATTTTCTACCACTGGAAACCCGTCAGATTGCATTCTTTCACTAGAAGAAACTTGGCTCAGTGTGAGCGGGTTTGAGAAGACAGAGCATGCACACAACAAAGGAAAAGACAGAACCACTGATCCAGGAGGACTTAGTATGGTAAAGAAAAGTTGACAGTTACTGGAAAGGCAGGTTTTACATACTCAGACAACTTTGACCAAACCCTGAAAAATCATTTCTACGTTGAGAGTAAATGTGCTGTTTTCCATTTCATAAATATAATGTACAACAGGAATCCTTTATTCAATGTTTGTTGGCTCCTCAGTCAACCATTTTCTTGCAATGTCTTTTTTTTACTAATTTCCATAAGTAAACAAAATAGTTTACTATCATATCTATTAAATTTTTTTAAATATCATCTAAATACATATTGGCACAGATAAAGGGAATCACCACACCAAAATTTGTGAATTTGTTTGTGAATTTCCTTCCAGTAAGCTCTAATGACTTGTCTTCTCCAGAACAAATATCTTTGAGCAGCTCTATTGGACACACAGAGTCTCCAGCAGCCATCTCCACTGCTTAGGTATCTTTCTTGAATGCATGAAACAAAAAATTTACAATATTTTCCAACAGAACCCTCACCATGTACTTTGCTCTGTAAAGGTCTACTCAAGTTGTAGTTCTCTGCTGGAATCAGCTAATTTATTTCTGTTTCACACTCCCTTGCTTTGGCAGCTGAATTCCATTTCATAGTGTTGAAACCACTTTATTACACTGTCCCAGACTTCTAGGAATACCTTTTTGCAGATTTTGGTTGAAGTAGTGTCTAAATTGCATGTCTCTATAAAAATCACCATATTCATTTTGTAAAATGGAATGAGCTGTAAAAACCAGCGAGAATATGGTTTAGGCCCCAGGTGAAGAAATTATGTCATGGCTTTAAGTGGGTGCAAAGTCAGAATCATAGGCCCATCTTCTAAAGGTTTTTACCTTTTACAGTGCCCCCCTTTATCTGTTTCCAACCTGCTGTGTAGGTCAGTGTGTCAAAGAGGACTCTCTTCAACTCTTCAGACGGGTGGATGCAGCTTAGTAAGTAAAGGAAAGTTTTCCTTTCTTTCACTTACTGGTATACATTCATGCTAAGCCGGTATACACCTGTATACCGGCTTGGCATGAATGTATACATGGCATGGAATGAGCTGTAAAAACCAGCGAGGAGTTTACAGAAGCATATAAATAGAGCATGGTACAGGTGAAACAGGGAGACTGAAACAGGTTCAAGAAAACAATCCAACCAAAGGAACATAAACTAAAATGATTAATGAGCGGAATACGAGAATTATTAAGGAACTAAATCTGAGGAATGAACTAAAGCACCACCTGGAAAACATAATCGTGATCAGAGACAAAACCTCACAACATTGAATATAGACACATTAAAGGTCCTAAATGAGCATCACAGTAATAATCCTGTAGACAGGAAAGGCCCATTCCCCCTTTTAATTTTGCTAATATTTTATGTTTGATCCTAGCTTTTTCTCTTTTTTCCTTGAAATAAATATACTGATATTAATCTCTGCCATCCTTGCACATAGTTTGAGAGGTATTTTGACTAGAAGGCATTGAAAATAATAAAATGCATTTGAAGAAAATTCATTCTGACTGACTTTATCCTGTAGCTCAAAGTCGAAAAAGGGAATTATTTTTCATCTTTTGGGCTGACTATATACTTGAAATTAACAGCCTGTAGGTACCTCAAACATGCAGGGTAATCCTCAAATATTCAATAACCATAGCATCCCACTTACAATTATATATATTTTTAGTTCTTTAGGTGGATTAAAGTTTTTTTTTGAGCACTAGTGGCCTTTATTTTTTGACAGTGGGCAGACAGGAAAGAGGGGTAGAGAGAGGGGGAGACATTTGGCAAATGTCACCAGATCTGGGACTCGAACCCGGGACGGCCACTTCGAGGACTGTAGCCTCTGCATATGGTCGCGTGCTTAACCCCTACACCATCACCGCCACGCCCAAGGTGGATTAAAGTTGAAAGATAACAATGGAGTTTTATTAATGTTAATTATACAGTATATTCCTTAAGCACCATCATCAACTTCGGCAGTGTTTGTGTAGGTTGTGTGAAAACTAACAGGGCCAATTATAGCTCTCCACAAAACCACCTTTAATGTTAGGTCTCTGTCTAGTCCACTGGCTGAAAGGTTCAGTAAATAAGATGAAGAGGAGCAGCACAGCACAGCATCGTGTTGTGTTCTTCTATGTATACAAAATGAATTAGTTTAATCTCCACTGAGTAACATTTTTATTGGCCATTGTTTTGTCATAAAGGTTTGTAATTTTGTTGAAAATAGCTGTAAGGAAGAAAACATTTTTTAGAAATTTTATAGAACAGACAATCTCATGGCATTAAACTCTTCCTCTGCAACTATATTACCATGAGCTCATCCAGTTTTGGGATTCTTATTTCTTTTAGGGTTTGTACAGTTCTTTCGATACTTTTCTGAGTTTGTCTAATAAAGCCTGCCTAGCCATTATCTATTAGGCCTGGTAGTATTGATTGTAATCTCTCTGATTTTATACAGATGACCATTTTGTACACTTATTGGGCATTAATTTCTATTCCAATTTGTCCTTTTCCTATTTGGGAATGATAGAAATTGTTGCTTCTTTCCACGAAAGGGGAAATTGTATTCTTTTCCAGCAGCCAATTGAACACTAGATGTATCTGGATCTAGCTGTGTTCGGACTAAAAGATCATGCGTTACTTTATACCATTCAGAGGTAAAACCATAATTTCCCAGGGACTTCCTTCTTTCAATCTCCCAATTGCTTCTTTCATTTATTCTTACATTCATGTTCTTCTATAAAAATGCCAGATGGTTATTGATGTTTTATTCACTGCATTGATGAAACATCAATAGCGAAGTATGAGCACATGTTAAATTTTATGGTGTGTGGATGTTTTGGAGTATGTCAGTTTGTTGTGTGTATTTAAGTTTGCATCTGGAACCTATGACACTTAGCTGTTTGATGCATATGTAGTTGCAATCCTGTGCATACCTGCTCTGGGACCACGGCTGGAAATTGGCCAGTGGCTCAATATGGTGCAACACAGCACTTTTCTTATGAAATTAGAGTAATTATGCATCATCTCATTAAAATGATATGTAGACATAATTGAATCATGCAACTGATGTGATTGATACAGATGCCAAGCAAGAAGCAGAAAAAGAGATGCTGCAGTGATTGAAGGGAAAACACCAAGATTTAAGTCTCACAAAAAAACTGTGGGGAAACCTTTTAAGAGCAGTGTATACAGTATTTAAATACCACTGCACATTGTTTTATAGACTATTGAACAATGTAATAGAAGACACACTTTGGAACTAAAGGGTCATGGGAGTTGGGGAACTGCTACTGTTCTAACTCAGCTATGGCAGCAAGCTGTGCTGTGGTGCAAACACTACATTGTTAAAAAAAAAAAAAATAATTCCATTATGTAGGCCAGGGAAAAATGTCTTACTCAAATAAATGCTTGTGTGCTTTACTGACAACAATATCTCTACATATTCATGTATGACATGTTCTATAGCCTAAGCACTCATTATTCAAGCTACTTTTATTATTTGAGTTTAGGTCGTCCATTATTTTCAGATTTTCTTCTTAAATGGATTGTAAGTTCTAAATGGAAAGTACTACTTTTCTAATTTGCTGTAGCAGTTAACTCTAGCTAACACTAGTTTGCAGCATTATAAAAGGAATAAGCATTGGGCTGATGGTTTAAGCTATGCTTATAGGTTTTGTCTAATCGGAAGCTATATCATGAATTTTTTTCTTTCCTTTTGAATCGACAAATCATTGAGATTTATTCTGCCATTTACCGGCACTGCAGTGCTAATGCTAGTTTATAGCCACATAAACAGGAACAAGAAGTAAAGAGCTGGTTTCAGTAGTGTTTATATTTTTGTGCTCCTCTCTATAGTCTCAATTATTATCTCATGAGTTTCTTCTGTACTTTTCTAATAGCAACTCAAGGGAGTTTAAAAATACAACTTTTCTAACTTGCTGTAACAGCTAGCAAGGCTTTAGTGCTTACACTAGGTTGTACATAAACAGTGACAAGTTAAGAGTTAGCTTAAGCTGTGTTTATATGTTCTGTTGTCTTCTAAATAATAAAATGGATGATAAATCATCCCATTAATTTATTCCTTTCCATTTGAATTGACAACTCATGGAAGTTTAAAACCACCATTTTTCTGCTTTGTTGGAGTAGCTAGCAGTGCTGCAAGGTGCCAACATTAGCTAGGGAACAGAGCTACAGCTAAAAACACTTTTTCCACACATGAGCAAACACAATGTTCTGTGTTGCCACAATGACACCAGTCAGTATGTTAGTAGTTTTGCACCTGAAGATTTTGTTAACCATTTTTATGGATTCAACTATGTCAAAGTACACTTCAGTAAGACCAGTGTGCTGGAACAAATCAAAGCCAATGCAAAATATAGTTTTACTAAAGCTGAGTATACATGACCAATAAAATAATCACATAAAAGCGGTAAACCAATATCAATGTGCAAAGTACTTTAATCGAATGCTATTCAAAAGAGGTAGGGTTTCAAAGACTTGAACTTAACACTCTGAATCTTTTTATGAGTCCATAATTTATACTAGATTAAAACAGTCACTATAAGGGAACGAACACCTTAGTTGTTGAGTTGTACTTGTGGAACATTTGATTTTCAATTCAAGTGACCTTGAGAGGTGCAAACGTCCAAGAAAAAAGGAGCCAGCCAACTTAGGGCCTTCTTAACTATAAATAAAATCCTAAATTCTTTTGCATAACCAATAGAGAAAGTCAATACTGATATGATACTTTCTCACTCTTAGTCTCGACTAGGTACCTTTTTTACCACCTGCTAAATATGACGTATTTCCTATAAATGCAGTAATATTTTTTGGTCTTTTCTAATCATATGTAATATTGATTGAGACCTCTACTGCCAGTGCATTGGACATCTGCCTTTTGCCAACAGGACAGCCCATAGTATTGCCTTAATGCCATATGCTGTAATAAGGATCCAAGGGCCTGTGGAAATGAAACAGGCCCAAAGCATCACACATCCTCGACCATACATAAGGTGGATGCATGGAAGCATGAGGTGCTTTTTCACATATTCATCCACTGTTTTGGACCAGACCCACCTGAAATATTTGTTGCCAAATTTATCTTAGTCATTGTCGTCTGACCCAAAGCACCTGATTTCAATTAGCAAACTCCAAATATTTAGGTTTGTGATGGCAGGACAGAAACTTCTTTTTCTCACATGCCTCCTAAACAGGCATTTTGCATAATGATACCATATAAACATTGCTATAGAGCATAAGTGACCTCAAGATGCCACTCTTTGTGGCAGTTATCTAACTGAGAGCTTTGTAGATTTGTGATACCTTTGGGCTGTATGTTGGAACCATTAGTAGCACTGTTCCCTTGCAGTAAAAGGGTTCTGGGTCCTGGCCTGGGGTCCTTCTGTATGGAGTGTGCATGTTATCCTCATGAATGCATGTGTTCTATACTCTGGATTCCTCCCACAGTCCAAAACATGACTAATAGGTTAACTGGTCTTTCTAAGTTACCCTTAGATGCAAGTGTGTTTGTGCATGGTTGTCTGTCCTCATCTGTCCCCCTGTGACTGCTGGACATAGGCACCAGCCCACTTGCAACATTGCAAGGACAAGCTGATCACTGTGCAGGATGAAAGACAAACTTGGGTCTTCTTCACCCTTGTTTGTCACAGTTCATTTAATTATTTTAATTGCTTTTCTGACTGGGCTGCATGGTGACACAGTTGGTAGCACTGTTGCCTTGCAGCACGAAGGTCCTCAGTTCATCTCCTGGCTGGGGGTCTTTCTGATTGGAGTTTGCATGTTATCCCCGTGCATGTGTGGGTTCTTTCTGGGTACTCTGGCTTCCTCCCACAGTCTAAAGAAATGCTTGTTAGGTTAATTGGTCTCTAGATTTCCCTTAGGTGTGTGAATGAGTGTGTGCTTGGTTGTTTGTGTGTTGCCCTGCGATAGACTGGAGACCTGCCCAGGGTGAACCCTGCCTCCCACCCATAGACTGCTGGAGATAGGCACCAGCTTCCTTGCAAACCACTATGGAAGAAGCAGTATAGAAAATGACTGACTGATTTTTTTTCTGACTGTATAGAAGAGAAGGCTTAGGAAGGTTGCTACTGTAATTACAGGCATAAGGGGATTTATGCAAATGAACACTTACTTGAATGCATTGTTTTCTTGCCTAATGGAGCTTTGTGTCATATTATATCCATTGTTTAGGGATACAGGAAGCCATGGATTACTCCAAAGTTTTAAAAGTAAAGTATGTTATTTAGCGAAAGTTATTTAACGAATGCTTCTGTTATATTTGTTTTATAGGAATTGTCTTGGATTATTTCTTGTTGTGGTATTTTTTTCCACTGAATAAATGTATTTAAATTAAAGGTTGAATTCTTTTAAAGTTTTATTTTTGAGTTTATGCTTCTGCAAAGAAATATCAATTTATTTGGACATTATTTTGCACATCTTTACTGGAGGGGTTATTAAAATGCTAATTATGATAATATAATTTTAGAGCATTGTTTTCTATAAATGCCTACTCAACAGGGTATTTGAATGAGTTGACTGACATTGTATACAGATAAACAGATTTTACCTTCCATCTGCAATGAAAATAGTCAATAATCTGCAATGAAAATCAATAATTTTACTATTAGTAGTAGTTGAGCATGTGGTATTAGGGTTTCAGCTGTAAAATTGAGGTGAGACTACAAACAACTGCAGACACAGTCATCTGAACCAGACCTTCTTGTTTTTCTGGCATTTACAAAGAATATGTGTGCACACATAACCATTCTGCTCCACAGGTGCAATCTCCCCCTTGTCTGAAGCCATGTAGTGCAGAGTCACACTAATCTGTTTACTCAACAGTGGGAGGGGGTCAGAGGGGA